TTGGTCCTTTAATAGCCAAAAGGTGTCCAATAAGTACAGTTACACCTATTCCACTCCCACCCCTCTTACAAATACACATGAAAAATATCCTCATTACTTTTTGGTGGTGTTAAGTTGTGTTATAATATTAGAACTTCATAGTCTTGGAATGTGTTCAAAGGTTGGGAGGTTGAGTTCAGCTCTAATTTATATGTGGCTTTTTTTTCACTAGATTTTAGAAGCAGCATTTATTATTATATTATTTTAGTTTTGTCACATTTTGTATATTTTTTCAACTTTCCGTTACAGGTGATATGTGATCATGAACTAAGAGTCTTGCATGTGGTATCAGGCTGGCCAGGACAAGTCCAAGATGCACAAGTACTAGCACAGTCAAGCATCTTTCAAAAGGCAGAAAGTGGGACTTTATTCCCCCCGTCAAGTCGACTGATAAATGGAGTAGAAGTGCCCATTTTGATTATAGGTGACCCTGCCTATCCCCTCAAACCTTGGCTGTTAAAAGCATTTTCAGACTTTGATGTACTTACTCAAGCTCAAAAGAACTTCAACTATTGCCACACTCGAGGAAGAATGTGCATTGAGGGATGTTTGGGTAGATGTAAAGGGAAATGGCAGATACTTCAACACAGGCTAGATTTTGAAACTGAATTTGTGCCAGTGCTCATCCTGGCATGCTTAACACTGCATAATGTTGTCGTGGTTCACAATGAAGGCTTTGACCAGGAGTGGATGGACTTGGTGGAGGAAGATCGAAATCATAACGGATACCAACCAGGACATGACATGAGACAGTACGATGCCAAAGCCATAAGAGAAGCATATGTTCAGTATTTTAACGACAGATAATAAGGTGTCTATTTTGTCTTTCATTTTTTAGTCTTTAAAATGTTGAACCATTGAGTATTTTACCTACTAGTTTCTGCTTTTACAAACACTATTATTGAGTAATTCTTACTCCTGAGTATTATAGAAATGGACTTTATGGTACATTATATAGTTTAAATGCAAATAAGGTCTTATAAATATTGCCTACAAGAAAAGAATGTATCTTAATCTGTTTAGAGTTTTAACATTCTTTTTGGGTTGCTTTGTGTTGCCTTTTTGATACCAAAAACCCAGGTATTTGTTTGCAGTTCACTGGTATTTAACAGGGATGAGATGGCATTGTATCCTTGAAATTAATGTAGAGTTTTGGAGAGTTTGGATGTGCATTACTGAAGAACAAAAAGAAAATTTGGATAACATGACTGTATCAAGCACATGAAATTGTAAAACTATTATTTGAAAGTAGATACAGAGCTCTTCTAGTTAAAGGGATAATAACTCTTCGTTTCGGCCAAAAAATATGAATTTTCCTGGAGTAAACAACAATTTTCCCATACTTACCAATGGTTAATGAATTCATTTTTACATTCAAAGTTAGTCCCTGGTTTTTTTCTAAAAAGTTTGGTTTTTTGTTAAAATCTCTTAAGAGATTTTAACAGAGTATAGCCTTCAATGGAGGTCACGTGGTCTAAAGACAAGCTCAGATATCAGAATAATAGCTATAACTGCTGTTTTTGTGGTAAAACAAAATATATTTCTATGAGTTATTCACAATGTTTTTATTGTGAAATATAGATCTCATATGAAGAGTTATTATCCCTTTAACTGGATATATATCAATGCTGCCATCACTTTCTGAATATATTTAATTAATTAAAATTGGCCAGAAAGGGGGCATTATGAGATGCAATTATACATAAACTTCAGTAAGTCATTAGTGCAACATCTTTATGTATGAAGCTGCATTGACACACTAACCACTGTTGAGAATAAAGAAATTTGCCAAGTATCATTTTGAACTTGCAAAAAGTGTAAAATGTGTTGGCACAACGTAAGGAGTGTGTGTGCACACATGCACAGTCACATTCCATCAGTGTAATAAATAGATGCCTATTATATTGACCCTGCTGTCTTACCTCTCTCCTTCATGTCCTCTGTCACAGTTTTTGTGTCTTTGACATCAACTGAAGAATAACATGGAAACCATACTTGTTCACAATAAAGATATCAAATATTCAAAGACATACCTGGGTATGTTTTTGAGAAATGTGTGTGTGAGAAGTGATTTGTATTGTGTTGTACATTGCGATGATTATTTTTTAAGTCTAATTAAAGAAAATATACAAACAATTTTAAAGAGAAAATTCTATTTTGAAATATCTTTATAAATCCTTATATAGAAGACATGTTGCTGCACATGTAAACCTACTGTCTGTGTCGGTAATTTAACTCATCGCAGGCATTTGTAAGTAGCAGAAACTCTAGATATGTAAATTAAAAGGAATCTGCAGATTGTCACTTTTGAAAGTTGTATCTGCAACTTATTCAAAATAAAAACCATCAACACAAACTTGTAGTAAAGTGTATGAATATCAGGGTGGTATTATTGGGGAGTGGGAGGAGGGGGGAGAGGGGTCAAGGTCAGTCTCGGCATAACTATGACTTGGGTGTATCCTTCGGTGGTTCAGTGGTAGAGTGATTGCCTGCTATTAGGAATCGACACCTGGCATGTTTGGAGACATATGAGCTCGAGTTCTGTCTTATGAAATGTACTTGTATATTCTTTACATCATCTACTTTCCGGGAAGAAATTTTGGGCTTATGGCAGCTGTGGACATGTCTACCAATAAAAGTCCAGCATAGAGCGCTTTATGTTGATCTTTGTGTTTTTTTTTCCACCAAGTGAAATAAAATAAAATTTATTCAGCCAATAAGAATATCAAAATATAAATATCATAAATTGTTTTCATTTGAGAGGTCAAACTAAATAAAGAACTGGACATTATAATATTTATGAACTAGGCTATAAAGAAGAATTAATATTAGATACTGCAGAGAGGCAAAAACTACTTAAAAACCATTTATTGCCCCTGTGTGTTAAAAGTCTACTATTGCTTGGTAAGAATTTAAAAAAAGATTTTGCTGAATGGGTGGTACCCCTCCATAATTCCTTTTGTTGTTTTCTCCATTCTGTCTTCCAAGATATAATCCAGTTAGGGGAGATCTCTGGTTATTTTACGGGCGGCGTCAATAACATTTGAGTTTTTTTGCCCGTTCCTCTACTGTAGCCACCATTTATTTAGGGTGATCCGTGAAGCACTTCGTTCTCGTGACTCGTAAATTTTTGAATTGATGATTTTATTTCCCATGAACTTTGATCACCCCTCCCCAACAGTATCCTCATTTAAGAAAAGAAAGGAAAACAAAATGTACAAAATGTATATTTTATTCTGAAATTACGAGAATGACATTTTAAAGGTTTTTAAGTGGCTGCTACAGAGGCAATAATAGTTTTGCACTGACGACCCTGAAAAATTAAAGATGAAAATATTAAAATATAATTCAGTTAAAATCTATTAGCTGTAAAAAGATGTTGACAGTAACTTTACATCCACCAGCTCTTGGCTGCTATCATATAATTACTGCTTTCATGTACAGTTTTACCAGCTGTTTGACAAAGTTTTCTTATAAAAAACTGAAAGCTTACTTAATTATGATACAATTAAGACAAAGAGACAATCAAAACTTATTTTAAAAACATAATTAATCTGTCCTTTTCAAAAATACTACTGCAATTTCCTCATTTCTAAATGTCTGAAGTTATTTGATTTATTTAATAATAATAATAATTATAATAATAATGATAATGATAATACTAACCATTTATGTTCTTGGCCTGCGCCTGAAGCAAGACGTGAACAGATTTAATACCCTCCTCCACCTAGATTGGTGGCAATTCTTTNATTATGGGTCTATATCTGTCAGTTTTAGAGATAAAAGGGACGGAAACCTTGCAAAGTTCAGTTCATGATGAAAAGTAGGTTAAAGTTCAATTTCAAGGTCACAGTTAAATTGCCAGTAAATGACTTCCTATTCAAGGTCAATAGGTAAGGGGGTGATTGATAGAATAAATAAATCGAAAAATATATTGAGAAATTAAAAAAATCCAAACTATATCAAATGTCCAAACAATACATGTATATGATACGTACAGATAAGACCTGTAAGCAGATTCATTGATACCTTATGTAACCAATAATTATTAATGCTGTGTGCACCTCTCTCTCTCTCTTTCATACACACACACACGCACGCGTGCGCACGCGCTGATACAAAGAATTTCGAAACAAATGTATAAAGGCCTCAATAATAAAATTCTTTGTTTGAGCAGGTCACAAGTTTTTCCAAGCAGCAGTGGGCATAATTTCATGTCGTATTTCTAAGCACACTAGATAAACATCCGTTACAGATAAAACCTACAAGCAAATTCATGTGTACATAAAAAGACCTCAAGCGGTGTTTGTCTTACGATAACGCTGTCCATTTATATTGATAATCGATTTGTCCTTGGGTATAGGCAACTGATATACAACATTGGTCAAAAAGGTTGTCCTACCCCCATTCCTATGTACTTATATTAACAAATGATCACCTCGCAGATGTATATTGTTATAAACGGTGCTTTTTATTCCAGATACCATGTCTAACATGATTAATGGTTCAGAAAATACAAAATAGAAGCAAAAATATGCACATTTCATAACATTTAGTAATAGTGCTTTTTATTTCAGATTATATAAATGCCAAAATTCCACATGACAACGATTTACAGCCTCCCGGGAATTCTTTTCCCTTTACGCTCTTTGTCGCGCTGGCGGTCGATTCAGCATGTATTTCAAAACAAGTTGTCTGCAAATAAAGCACGATTTTGCACCTTCAAGTTCCATGACACGTTTTCATATCATGTGCCTATTATTTCTACAAGTATTCTCTGCCCAAAATGCGTAAAGAAGAAATGTTATCTTTCCAAGCAGCATTGGACGCAATTTTGTAATGTACACTGTCATACTTTATCTATAAGCGCAATATATAAATATCCGTTACAGATAATACCTATAAGCAGATTCATGTGTACATAAAAGACCTCTGCGGTGTTTGTTTTCCGATAACGCTGTTCATTTATATATCTAAGCGTTGGATATTAGTCAGAACACCGACATTTGCAACTGTCAAGATGGGGACCCTGCTCTTCGGTACGTGTACAGGTTAAAATGTATTGTTTTGGGGTTTTGCATCCTTGCTTCATCTGAATATTTCATCTTTACTATATATTTTCATGTTTCAGTTATGTTGGACTGAATATGCATGCTTAGTGTTTTATGATTGCAGTCGACGTCTTAATACGTCTGTGCTCGATCACGTAGCAAATTTAAACTGGATTATCAATTCAATCTGTCAAAGAGAGGAGCATCAGTTACCTTTAGGTGATCTGGGTGAGAAATTCCAGTCTCACAAATTAACCACATTAGGATTATATGTTTCAAATGCGCCATGTTTACCCTTTTGCATCTCTCTTTTTTAATCGTGATACTACTTTATGTAGATGGGATGCTACACTTACAATGTTTTTATTTGGCTATTTGGCTTCATGGCGTGAAACACTACACATAGAACCCACCAAACAAATGGTGCATCATAGACTACTTAACTGACAAAATGCCACTTTAACCAATAAGTCAACTTTTTTATTTTTGAAAATTAAAAAATCAGTGAAATATTGGCTGTACCTCTTGTTGTCATGAAACAGATGTTAATTTAATTAACTTCAAATAAGACAGTATCACATCTAGGGAGGACTAAGCAAAATATGCTATTGGCTCGATAACGGCTTGTATTGGCAAACAGTGTAGGCCTACTTTTTATATTTTTAGGGTCTGTTGCCTTTTTGGTGGTCCACATTTGTGTAGGCAGCCTGTTGTGTGACTGGAAGCAATTCGACGATCCCTGTTCCTGGAGCAATTATGATAAGCTTGACAATTTTCGGCGAAACCAAAATGAACATTTAATGGCAGGACAAAAACCACTGTGCGACAATGCTTTAATGTCAAAGTGGTTTCGATTTATTGGCCGGGCAGGAGACAGGATGGCAGATTCGACCGCCAATCTTATGAGCGGGTCTTGCAACACCAATTGGCCAATATTTTTGAAAGGAACTCACCCCAAACTTTCCGATCTATCATGTAACGAAATAGTTCCCAGTGAAGGGTGCATTGTTTACGATGGTAAAACGTACTGTCGTGCAGATCGTGTTACCATAGATATCAAAATAAAAAAATGCTGTGTAGGAGCTGCCGAATTCTTCATATACAGATCCTCCCATGATGTGATTTGTGATTCAGCATTTTGTGGAGCAGGTAGCAGTTTACAGTGCAACGGCAGTGATGTACTATACGTTGACAAAGATGAAAATGCGGAAAAATGCAAAGGTATATGTACAGTTATGTGCTTCTTAGCATAGTAAAGAGTCGCTTGAAGTAGTGCTCTGTCTTTATAGGATTGTAAGAATACTGCCACAGGTCTTAAAAGATTAAATGTGCTTTATTACGCCGGATATGTGTGGAAAAATACCCCTCTCGGTGGACACATTCATTATAAGTGTTTAGGGCCCAGGGGCAGATCCAGGATTATTTGAGAGGGGGGGTCCGCGGATGCGAAACCGACGTCCTCCCCACCCCGGCGTCAGGTACGGGGCCGCCTGAAGGGCCCCAAAATTTTTTGGTATTTTAAAGCGCAAACGGTGCCATTTGGTACGATTTAGAACTATAATTCAGCTGGTCAAAATTCTAATTTCAAGAGGGGAATATTAGATTTAGAACTATAATTCAGCTGGTCAAAATTCTAATTTCAAGAGGGGAATATTAGTTTTCAGAAATCGAAGGCGGTTGGGGGGTCAGAGTACTCCTGACTCCCCCCACCCCCAAATGGTCCCGTGGTCCCAAAGCCCACTACAGACGTCGCTGAATTTTGTGGCAATGAGACTTTGCCATGGGGGGGGGGTTCATGGGGGAAATTTTGGGGGCTATATAGGGCCTTCGACGGACCAGAATCAGTTGAGAAACCTTTGTCACCAATTTTTTCCAACCTAAGTTGTTTATTCACTGGCCTACATGTGACCTGATGTTAACAGTGGTTTCCGCACTGTTCGTCGTGCCAAATAACCGGCTTGCAGTAATCTCTTGTTCACGAGGGACCTTGAAAAAGGCGTTTGAATGACATTCTGCCCCTCTCTTCTGAAGACAGTGGTTGTCTTTGTACCACCAGTACGGCACTGTCTAAGGAGAAGGCGATCCTGTCTTCTTGTCGTGATACGAGGATACCCTGGTCGAGGTCTTCGAGTAGGTGCGCCTGTTGTAGCATTTCTTTGGGGGACTGTACAAACGGTTCCTGATAAATGTTGAACTGCCTGGCAATGGCTGCCCATGCATGGCCATTTTTTCTGAGAGCAAGAATCCCATAGTGAGCTCCGTTGCTTAGCTGTCGAACCTATCTTCTCTAAGCTATCTGTCAAGTTTCAGGGCGATCACTTTGTTGGTCCTTGAAAAACACTCCAAAGATCAACCATACCCATGCGTTTTTATACAAGGGCAGAAATTACCGAAAGACCACCCCTCACATTTCTTACCACAGAATATGCAACTGCATGCATCAATTGTTTTGAGAGTTGTGTGGTAGTTAGGTAACATACCTGGCTACACACGGAGTGACACCTCAGTTTCGGATTTAAAATAGTGATAGAGAAAATAAATATTTTGTAGAAAATTTCCATATTAAGTATAAAGCCTATACTTCAAATTTGCAACGCTAAACTGCTAAATCATAAGTTAATTAGTAAATAATGTTTTTATTAATGGCATTTTATGATTCTCATTATAAGTATCGTAAAAATGACCAATGTATCACGCAAAGCAAGATACACACTGCAGCTTATTTTAGGACTGATACTGTAGTCAATAATATGAAACCTTGTTTTAAGGTCTGGGAAAAGCCTATTCTTGATGCAACATCTCATGATAGAGTAGCTCACTAACATTTATCAAAGAAAAGTAAATTATATATTTCTAACATTTCCTCTTTTTGTGTTTCAGAGACAGTTTGGTCACATATATAACACGTAATAAGATAAACGCAACACTTGCCGTATTAGAGCTTAAAACATCTTTTATTTTCAGCTCCATACCCCAGGATGATTGGTCTTCCTAAAATATCAGATCCAGAAGTGGATGACGACGACTTTGCCATATATTGCCAAGTGACATTTGATGCAAATAGTGGAAACAATGAATCAGCTTTATTTAACGTTCAATTTCTCTTCAATGGAGAGAACGCGTTGCACGCAATTGCGGATTGCTCTACTGGATTTCGGGCAAAACTCACCTCTAAGTCCATTGCTAAACACATTGGAAAACATGTAAGTGTGGTGAAATATAACTGTGAGAACGAGAAACAAATATGTACATGTTATCATTATCGTGATAAATAATGATCTAGTTGAGAACTTTAAGAAAAGTATTCCAAACTGCTGTTAATCATGTTTTTTTCAAACAACTTTACCAATTACTTTAAGTGTCTATAGAACATCACGTCAAATGTATCATAATTTACCATCCCAGTTTACCAGTAAGGTATGTGCAGAGGGCCGGGTGACAAAAGTACTGCACTATTTAATTTAGCTTGATGGAGAGCAACAGGTGGGATTTGTTAGGTTTTTTAATTGGCATTTTATTGAAAAGTCGTTGTGTAAAGGTGGTTTTTCTATTACTGGTTTATAAATCAGTACTTTGCCCTTAAAAAGGCATGTCCTTTTGTTAGTATTAACCTTACGTGCGATAGCTCATGATCTCCATATTCCCACCACCCTTTAGGGCATAGGCATAGGAAGGTGCATAGGAACGTACTAGCCACGTGAGCCGAATGTGACGTGTTTGCATGGCTGCCATGGGTTCACCTTTTTTCTTTTTTTTTTTTTTTTGGGGGGGGGGGGGCAATGTTGGCACTCCAGGTTCTTAATGTAATTTGGATTAAAGCATTTCTTGTAAAGGGGCGATCTTTTGCCTTGGATATGGATGACAATTCATCACTGGCTACACTAGCAATAAACCACGCATCATTTGTCGGAAACGGGTCCATCTTGTCATTACATAGGGCACTAATCACACAAATGATGCAATACTTTCGTCACCCTCATCTACTTCAACCAAAATTGCTGCAAGATGCATATTCATTGGATTTGTTATTTGTTTAGGTAAACTGCAGAGTTAATGCTAGCTGGAAGGAATCTAGGCGACAAGAAACCAGTTTTACATATAGTGCCAACAGTTATTTTGCTGGAATAAAGGTAAACATTTTATAATCCATATGCAGGAAACAAACCAATTGCTATACACACAAAAGAACCGTTTTCATTTTTAAATCGCCTTTATTCATGTTTTGAAATATGGGGATGGAACTATCCCACCCCCCTCTCTCATATTACACAATCGATATAACCAAATTTGTACAAATGATATACATGTCGCTTTTTTTCTTTTCAGCGTTTAGGTAGAACTTTTTCAAAGTAGTTCTTACTAATCAAAATTTATTAAGATCAGCAAACCGGCATCATAAATTGTACCTTTTTGAGTGGGTCCTCTCCTTGAAAACGTGTAGTGTGGTCCGATCTACCGGATCATTCGGTGCCCATCCTGGTAGTTGGGTAGGCCTGATTTTGTAAGTTTCCATGCATCTGAGCTGTTGACCAGATTTAGCATATAATAAAAACATGCACCATTAGACTTATGGTACTGTTTCTCGATCTCACAACTTTAGATAAGTTTCAAATGCTTATGTTCCAATTTACATTCTTCTTTTTTATTTCTCTATCCCATTTTCCATTGTCTATTATCATGTTACCCAGGCACACCATGCTGCTGACTTGAATTTGTCTTCCTTATACATGTATGCTTACACTAGATTTTTTCCTGCTTACTACCGTTCCTTTTTTTTTTTTTTTTTTTGTGATGTTCATTCCATTCCGTATGATTTTCCTTTTTTACTGACTGATGTTACTAAATCTTGTACAGTAGGACTGCATTAGATTCTGTTGACAAAGCTGTATAATCTGCATGTCTCAGTTTATTTATGTTGATTATATTCTAATGTTCACACTTTTTCATATCTTCGACTTCTCTGAATATTATTTCATTGTATAAGCTGAATAAATTTGTTAACAAAAGTTTAATGTATCCCCACTAAAAACAACCTCATGGTTATTATTTAAACAATTACATAATTTATTTCACTTGCGAAACAGTTTAAGTGGACCTGTCATCCAATCAAGGGGTAACTCCTTGATCTTATTGAGAGTAATGATTTTGTCTTAGAACTGCTAGGGTTTTTAGATTTATAATTAAAATTGTATACGTCATGGTCAGTCATAGTTATGCACATCTGTTCAAAACAATAGTCTTCGTCAGACTTGAATTATAAATCCAATGTAAAACATCCGTATGCAAATCTTTAAATGAACACAATATCTGTCAAAAATGCAATACCATTTATAAGCCAAATAATACACCGTCACAAAACGATAGCCGTATCTACTTGTCTAGATCGACTTGTATGAGTTTCTTTAAAAAATCACCCATTCTTTGCCAATAACACCAATAACAACCAGTGTTTACTTATAAAACATTGTGTTTTATACAATCAAATTGATAACAGCCCATTTTTTACACGTTGTTTCTACTACAGATCAGGCGCACATGAAATGATTTAAAATATGTGGCAATATTATTAGAAAAATATACACGCAATTACATCGTTTTAATCAGTTCACACATAAATTGGTGGTTTAGAGGGCCCACTCGAAAATGGAAAAGTATATTTCTTTATTACTTATTAACGTGATGATTTATGATAAGCGCTTCTATCTTTCATTTAGGTTTTCAAGTATCAGACGTTCGAGGAAGTAAGAAACATAAACCTATCAAAAGATAAAATGCAACCTTTTAGGATCGAACTGGCGACCTATATTCCTATTACTAAAACGTCTCACAGTTTTGACATGCTTAATTTCACACTGAGTACAGCAAGTGACATAAGCACTGAAGCATGCTATAGTGCCTTTTCGCAATGGACAGGCGATGAAACGTTCCCAATAAGATCTTCGCCTGCTATCACCGTTTATCCAGTTTTCGACGGCAGCATAAAACCAGAAGGATCTCTTCGTTTACTAACCTTTGATCGACAATCGCTCAATACACCATGGGACCCCAACAAAAGCATTTGGCACGGATTCAGATTAGGTGGCATCCCGGTATGATTTTACTATGCCATTTTGCGTATTTTCCAGTTTACGTGATATTTAGTTACGATGTACAGTAAAAGTTTTTGAGATAAATAACTGTCGGAACTTTCATACAAATCTCTCTCTCTCTCTCTCTCTCCTTCAATGGACCTACACGTAATGGATTTGCTTAAAAAGGACAATTTTTTCAAAGGCACACATTGCAATTTTAGATCACATTAAAAGAAGCAAGTCCAGGAGAATGTACTTCAGTAACTGATCCCCATTTCAAAACGTTTGATAATACGTAAGTAACATAAAATGCTCATATTAGCTACATTTCATTTAACAGTAGGTCGACTATATTTGTTACTTCAAAGCGGGGCATTAAGGTAAGTTGAATACGATACAAACTATCGGTACATTTCAAAGTATGCAACACTGACAAATGAAATAAAACACTGCTTATAAAACACTAAGTCACAACAGAAGTTTAAAAAGACTGTCTGAGAGTTAATTTGGCAAATATTAAGCATGGCTATGAAGTCAACAACTGCTTCTAAATTGGAATGCATTACAACTACATGTAGCGAAATATCAAAGGGGACAGTAGCAAGAGAGGCGGTTTCGACTCCTTAAAAGGAGCAGTAGTAAGAACACAAACAAAAATCCTTAGATTTAGACGTTTAAAAATACTCGGTCATACATAAAACATGCTGACTCGTGAGCTAAGATGAAAATACATATATACTCCCAAAACAAAAGAGTGCCCCTACCGCTTTTATGTCATTGGCTACAAGGTTACCCATAGATTTATTTTTAGTATTAAGTAACGCCTATGCAACCGATCCTCGTTTAAACTGGGGGTGTGAGTAGTAGAACGTAGAACTATCTGTCGTGATCATTGAAGGTTAGGTTGTTTCATGAGACCCATTCACACGGTAAGCGCCATCATAACCAAATGCTTGCACTAGAATAACTGGGTGACTTTTCTGCTAATTTAGCAAAAAGATTTCATACTTTCTGTTAACCGTATACATAACGACAAAACTCCACAAATGTTACACGACTTATAGTTCTATGCAGGTGCATCCTACAATGTAATGGAAACTGTACACAAAATACTACATGTACAATGTGAATTTAATGTGTTTTGGTAGGGTTCGTGGTTGTGCAATCAGTAAATTTTCGTGAAAGAAATTCCTTTGGACGTTGAATAAACGTACATTGGGTTATGACTTGTTTTTTATATCGTTATATCATCATATTTATCATATATATGTATATTGTTATAAATCATATTAAATCATATATATATATATATATCTTTTACATCAGTCGTTAATATGATTTATAACAATACATTCAAACGTTCTATCCGTAAGTCATGCTCGTATCTAAATTCCTTGCTCTTAATACATCTACGTGGATTTGTAATTGTTTGACATTGGACAAATTACAAAGTTGAAATGAAAAGTTTTTCAATGGTCCAGTTTAAATATAACGTTTTTATTGGAATGATTGAAATACAAGAAACAAACTTACGTATATTGTTTTTATTCTCAGATGTCCTTACATGAGTTTATCATATAATCTGAAGCTTTCCACACATTCTTTTTTAGCCTTTTTGATAACCAAATAAAGGGAGAATTTCTTCTTTCCAAGCTAAATAAAGTAGAAGAAGGTATCTTCTTTGAGGTAACCTTTCGTGGTCATATTATCGTGGAAAAAGAAAGCATATGTCAACTTACGTATACACGCTTTTAAGATAAATCAAGTCAATTTGAGTATGACGATTAGTTCTAAACATTTATATCTGTATTGTCCATGAGGCGCATAAGCAGTCTGTGCAAGCTTTCGTTTTCATTTGGAGAGTGTATGAGAATTCTTTTTTTACACTGCCTTGCAAGGAATGCATTATGCAAAAGCAGGAAGAATTTCAATCCTTATAATTGCTTATCTTAACGGTTTCAGGTGCGAGCAAAACACTGGTCTTGTTTAAACGATGACATAGCATGTAACTGTGGAGTTGCGGCACGCGAAAACGATGATATATTCATTGTAGACCTGTGTCACTCTACATGGCAACAACATAAGAATAAAAATGTTGCACCACTTATATGGTACCGTGGAATTGGTAATTGCCAGGATGAATCGTGTCCTGCTGAAGGAGCAGATATATACAAAGATACCACTGGAAAAGACTTCACGGTAGGTTCAAGTGAAAGGGGTGAAAAGAAGCATAGTCATCTTGGTGACATGTGGATGGCTTAAGTTAAAGTTGTTTTTTTATTGTTATTTATCTGCAGCGTAGCAAGTGTAAGAAGTGATGGCCTTTCTTTCGCGTATATTTATGGATTTTTTGGTCCCTGAGCTCTCTTCCCTTCACTTCTACAGCCACGTTATATGTAAAATGGCACCTTTTACTGGGTACGCGAAATATATATATATATATATATATATATATATGCTCAAAATTTTGCGGCGAACATGGCGTCCTTGGCTATACTTGATCATTCTGTGTACGATCTTAAACCCCCTTTACACTGGACAGCGTCCTTTCTGCGTCCTTTGTGCGACCATGAAACTGGCCAAGACGTCGTCGGACGCTCAAAGAACGCACAGTGATCGCTAAGGTCGCACAAAGAACGTTCAAGCATCGCCGAGGACGCCATGGACGCCGCGAAGTTTTGAGCATGTTCAAAACAATCGCAGAGAGAACGCGGTGGAGGATGGTCGCTCAGGGCCCCTTTACACTGGACGGCGTCCTTTCTGCGTCCAGCAGTACGGACCCATTTGAGAGTTAAAAAATTATAATACTTTACGTGCCGATAACTGGCCGATCATTGAGCATTCATTCTGATACAAAATCAATGCTCGTGTCTCCTTATTAAGACCACAGCGTTGCCAAATTTCATGGTCGCAGAAAGGACGCAGTCCAGTGTAAAGGGGGTATCAATGGACGCAGAGAGGACGCACAAGCATCGCCGCGGTCGTAGAAAGGAGGCACAAGCATCGCTTTGGTTGCAGAATGAAAACTCAAAGATCGTCCAGTGTTCGGCACGTAGAACTTTTTTTTAAATGTCAAACGGGGCCGTGCTGAGGTATTTTTCACCAGACAGGAATTCTTAGGGCAACAGTGGTCTCATATCAGCCTCCGATTGTTTTTTCCCCTAAAATTCATGAAACGATCCATTTTTTATTATTTTTTTTGAGGTTATTATAAAACGAATATTTTGCCTTTTTTACAAGATGCATTAATTGTCAGAATTTTTTGCAGAATGCGTCATTTGAAAACGGATTCAAATATTCTATGTTGTGTCAGTCACACTTTCTCGTTTTCGGCGCCTGTCCATCCTTCTAATAAGGATAACAATGAGCATCTGGCCGATAATCAGTCCATACAGACCTTGCATCACTATAGTTTAAAGCGTTTATTGCCATTTATTTGTTTTGAGTGCTGGAAAGGTTCTTTATTTGATGACCTGGTTGGAACCGATGAAAAATATGAGTTAGAAAATAGAGAAGGACGCCCAAACAACGCTCATCGGTCAAGCAGGATGCAGAATGATCGTAGAATAGACGCCACTGATCGCCGATGAAGGTACAGAGAACGCAGCAAGAATGCTCAACGGTCGCTCAAACATCGCAATGGACGCCTTGGGTTGCACAGGGGACGTACAGTGGAGGCAGGCAGATTGCTCGCAGTTTTACAGGTAAAATCAAGATTCGGTCGTTCAAAGGACGCACAACGGACGCACAACGGACGCAGACGCCTTTACACTGAGACACGATTTAATTGCTTTGGCGACCGTTGAGCGTCCTGACCACATTTTTGAACGCAGAAGGGACGCAGAAAGGACACCGTCCAGTGTAAATGGGCCTTTAGCGACCAGGCGACTTAAGAGTGGTAATCAACCACTGGGAACGAAAGGATGTATTATGAGGTGGATTTTAACCAAGGCATGAGCCGACTACCCCATAAAATAACCTTATTTTACGTGGTACATATGAATCTACCGCAGGGTGCCCTAGTTGTCTGTTACAAAATAGCCATAATTTTTTTTTACTATTTTATAAGCCCCTGATATGAGAGGGTACCTCAACATGTTCATTGCACACTTTAAAACCATCTAACAGTAACAATGATTTTCACTTATTAATCAATATATATTTTGTTTACCCTAAAGATTTCATTTCCATCTGGTGCACGGGTCAGGGCTAAAATCAATCCGAGATGGGGTCTAGACCTTACTGTGCATGTACCATCATACTTTGAAGCAAATGGATTGGAAGGCTTGTGTGGCGATTATGGGCCGAAGCCGGATAGAACAAGCAATGACTTCCACTTAGAGCAAAAGTAGGCTAGTGTTTTTTGTCAAACCCACTGTGTTAATCTATACTGTTTGGAAAAACAATGTAGTATCGGTCTTGTCGCAATCAACCTGTACCAGTGTCTTAATAACATATTGTTATGAGACAAATTTTTTATTTTGTTCTGTTCAACATGATATAGGCCTACAAGATATTCGTTGCTTGTGTGAATAATCAGTTGTTTAATTGTCAAGTTCGTGAGGTATTACATTTACTGATATCTGAAAGTAAAAGTTTACTAAGCAATAATTTGGAAGATACAGGTTGTTCAAAAAGAAAAGCAATAAAATAAATTGAACATTTACAATCTCGCTTGAATTGACCCCGTCTGGTACAGATTGTTTGTTACCAGCCCGTAAACATTCAGACATATTTCAGTTTAAATACAACCATGACATTTTCAAATTCAGGTGATGTGTGTTTGTCTTGTAGTTAAATTATACCAGGGTTAGGCGGTGGTCTGCCTGAAGTATTGTTATTACACTTTTTTGTTATTTTTCTTTTTCAGAATCAGTCCCTTAAACTCGTACTTTAATCATACCATAATACCCAAAAGATCAGGTGTCAACAAAGGGAGAGAAACAAGTTACTGCCACTGTCAAAAAAACGGAATTGTATGTGATTACAATCGACTGATAACCGACAGAGGCAATATTGAACAATTGACCCATATTACCCCCTATACACCAAAACAAAGACCCAATAATAAAAGACACAAGCGTGATCTCCGTGCTGGAGAAGACATCACCGACGATGAAATAAAAGATTTCTCTCGTTATGAATATGAGTTTGATTTTAACGAAGACAACGTGGTTCCTGTCATGAAAGACTGGCCGACCCTAGGTGGTAAAACTAAGAAGCAGGTGGAAGATCACTGCGATCGAACTATTCAGGCTTCTCCTATTTACAATTTGTGTCAGAATGTTCCGGAGTTTGACTTTGACTCTAGCAGAAGGCAGTGCATCGAAGATATCAAGGTACCCCACATCTATCCCAGTGCGATTTGAATTTCGAATTTAAATGAGTCGTGAATAGAAAAATGAAGTTTTGTTAAATTAATTTTAATCCATGTAATGTAAATTTCACATTATCAGCTACATGTAAATATCAAGGACTACGAATGTACCTAGGAGACCTGAAATGTTTGGATTTTATCAATGAATGTGAAGTGACCTTGTGATTTCAGCTTACGGATGATTACAAGTTTGCTGACATGGCTGTAGCTTCGATGGAATCATTCTGTCTTCTAACGGCTGAGAAAATAAAACCACCACCACCTCCACCGCCAACAGAAATACCAGTTTCTCCAACCAGGGGTCCCCTTCTGCCTGCTCTACCTGCGACATTTACTACCCCTAAATCTACTGTTAAACCCTTCATCATGCCAGATCTGGACACAATAAAAAAATGGATTTGTCCAAATCAATGTAGTGACCATGGAGATTGTGTAGATGGTACATGCCAATGTCACCAAAACTTTACTTCAAATGACTGTTCTGTGGAAATGGATCTTGCGCCAAAAGTATATGGTATTGGCGACGACGGCCTCTGCGACATTCGACAAAGAAGATGTGAAGTCATAAATCTTGACGTATCTAACGCTGTGGACGGTGCTAATCTTACGTGTCGGTTTGTTTTAAATGAGGTATATTATTTGCCTATAATATGTGCATTGAGAATGTTCCGTTAGTGGCTGTTGAGCTACCGAGGTAGTGAATGTTGGTATTACCTGCTAAAAACTCATTGATAATGTAAATTTTTGTTTTTTTTAGTGATGTCGATCATGAACTTTGGGACGGAAAATTATGCGAGACAGCAACGTTTCGCTCTTGTCTCATGAGCATCGTCAGGCTGAATGTTCACAGGTCATTGAGTGTTGGCAGACTTCACTCAGGGTAGTAATATTCGGAATGACCTGGTTATAGATGGAGGGCGGCAGCTGGTATCCATGTTCGCTATCCAGGGTGGGTCCTGTTGTCTTTGTCGACTTCGGGTCTATTGTTGCTTATAGCTGAATATAGTATGAAAATAAGTCACTCTGTCTCCATGAAAAACACTAAAACCCTTGCCAGAGGGCAAAAGGGAAACCGGCTGTCCCCATCTATAACCAGGTCATTCTGTCAATTACTAGCCCAAATGAGAAACGTTTACAGGTCTACCAACACCCAATGACTTGTGTACATTCAACCGGGCGATGCTCATGAGACAAGAGCAAAACGTTGCTGTCTGGTATAACTATCCGTTCAACAGTAAGTGATCAACATCCCTAAAAACAGTAGCAAATATAACTCCTTGGAACCATGAACAATGTCAATGACAGTTGACAATTTTTTAGAGAAAACTGCTTGTTTTCACAACTCCTTGTTGATACATGTTATGCGTAGTGATTCTTCTGTGTGGACTTTTATTTTCGTTGATCATTCTTACACAGGTGGATTTCAGCACAGGGAAGCGCCTTTTTCAAAAGTCTACATTCGAAACTGTAGGTAAAATGTTGAGCTTTGCTGAGATGGTTTGCCCGCTTCCAAAGCAGAAAATTGATACCCCACTGAAGGAAACAGCCATCCGGGGAAATCCACTGCAAAGTTTTGATTTGACAATAAGTAATGACAAACAGTTTTTTTCTGCAATCCCATCCAATGTGACTATTTACGACTCTCACTGTATCGAATGCATCGGACATGCTTGTATTAGGAAGGTATGTTTTTGTAGTATACCCCAATTACTGCTAGTCAAATTTATCTACCTTCATGTATAATCTATCTATCTATCTATCTCTGACAAAATACTTTTATAATTGGCGCCATAGGTCGATCATTCGGTGCCGCTGTCTTTAAAAGATGAATATATACTTGTATTTGTCTCAAGAACCGAAGGCAGTCTGTATAGTCTCAGATGAAATCTTTAGAGTTACACATTTAACAATAAAATTTACATAAAAGCAGTTTAAATAGTTATCGGAGTCAACGCTATCAAATAAGTTTCAAGACATGTATGACAACGTTGCTCAGTAATTACCAGTACGTTTTTACCGCCATTTTACGTGACAATGTAGAATATGATATCCTTTTCATATCTTCTGATAAGTTTTAGCAAAATTGGTCATCTAAATGAGTTATCGTCACCTTTACAAATTGTAGTCCGACGCTTGCAAGATAAATGGATACTGCTATGAAGATGGAGAGACTGACCCGGTTCATGAAGCCTGTCGCTCGTGCAACATCAGTGTTGACTTAAATGGTTGGACTAACACTACAGGTATGCAGATGTTAATGTTTTAATTTACTTTCATGGTCAGTGAAATTTTATGGAACGTGCGAGAAGGAAAGTGGGAGATGAGATAATATCCATTAAAGAAAATCATATTTTCCAGAACCAACAATTCCGTGTGCCCATTGTGACGGACTTCCATGCAAATGTGCTGGCGCTAAGTGGAAATGTGAATGCAACCCAGGTTTTGTGAACGCTTTGAACGGAACATGCATAGGTGAATTACTTCAGACAGTAACAGGGTTATAGTTTTAAAGACCAATTGCTACACCTGTGTATGTACTGTGTATGTACTGTAGTGTTCTTGTTAACGATTTATATACCACTGCAACACAAAACATCTATACATGACTATCCACCATATCTTGCTTGGATCAAATGAAAGTCAAACAGGCTTGATAAGTTAGACAAAACGCTTTTAGAACAAACTGTTGTGGTTTATTTTGGCACGTATACCCGAATCAGTAACTCTCATTGAGCGACTAACACATCCGCGAATCAAATATGGCCGATCCACTTGATTGCGTGTTGCGTAATCCCCGCGGGGAATCTACTGGTATTCAGTGTCTAATCGGGAATTACCTGTAAGCGGCAAGCTTTTTAGTCAGTCGCCATATTTGATCCGCGGATGTTCGCTGTTCTGAATGCGCTCATTGTTCAAAAATTCTCTAGTCGGTAGGGTAGACGCCACTGAGACAGGACAATTACGAGAACTACTTTGCCGGGGTTAAATATTCTATAAATAAATGTTTCATCGTGAAAGAAACAATTGATATATATATTATTCAGATGTTGATGAGTGCAAATACCAGGGCGCATGTGGACCAAATTCTGTCTGTTTAAACACACGTGGAAGCTATAGATGCCAATGCAATGTGGGATACCGTGCTGTCAATCGATCATATTGCACAGGTACGGTATCGTAGGTCAAAACGACAAAAATAGTATGAAACATGTGAATCACTTTACAGAAATCGTTTGCTTAAAGACTAAGTAATGGGTCAAAAGCTCTAAATTATATTTCCGAAGAAGTCACAATTAAAAACACTATGCCGCAAAAAGCAATACTTTTTCAGTTTTTTTAAAGAAAGCAAAATCTCCCTTGAATGTCTGTGCAAAGTACCAAGGTTTCGGAATAAGTACAGATATAGTAGAGTCAGATAAAAAAGGAAGGGTGCAGAATTTCAACCTATAAATTAAAGACATTTGTTGGTGCATATGATTTCAGTTTTTTATATCTGGGATCAGTATTCGTAGTCGTTATAATAATAATAATAATAATAATAATAATAATAATAATAATAACAACAACAACTACAACAATAATAAATATCATTATTATTATTATTATTATTATTATTATTATTGTAAGATCAGAAATGACTCTTACTTAAAGATGCATTTGATTTCAAATATTGCCACAAAATTCAGCTAGTTACCACCATACAGTTTCAAAGAGCAATACCTAGAGTTTACCAAAGAGCTTCGTTTCACATGTCCCGGAAATAATATTTGAATGGATATTTTCTGCTTTCCTTTTGTGTTTTGGGCATCTCATTTAACACGCCAGACATCACTACGACAGTTTGACTTTTGCGATCTGGAGAGTCGGATAAGTAGGTCAATTTACGTCCAGAAATTTGAAGAAGGTTTTAGTTCTTAAGCTATTTTACGGCTGATGGAGTGATAAATTCGGATCAACCCTTGGCGTGGTGACTTTATTAGAGACGAATTAGAAACTAGCAAAATTGGTTTAAACGTGTATGCATTATACATGTGCGGAATCCATGTTCACTTCATATATAACGTGTATTATGAATTGTATTGACGACGGCTTTCTCCTCAACTGTAGATATCGATGAATGCAAATCAACTAACGCCTGCCTGCCAACCGCCGCTTGCATCAACGTTCCTGGAAGTTTCAAGTGTCACTGTAAGCCTGGGTACTCTGGAATAAACTGCACAGGTTTGGTACTGTATATAAACATCGGATTGCATCGTATTTAGTCGATTAACTTTGAAGCATCCGTCTGAAAACCTTAAAACATTTTGATGAGAGGAATTATTGAAATTAATGCTCATAACACATTAGTTCTGTTTATTCTATTCGATAACAAAAAATTGTTTTTAATCCATAGATATCGATGAATGTACTCGAATGAATCCTTGTGATCCATACATGGACTGCATAAACCTTCCAGGCAGTTATGAATGCAGATGTAAGTAATGTCCCCAATTTAACAGTGTTCTATTACGTATACATTTAGAGTACAACATTCAAACTGGATTGTAATTGTACCTTCATGTAACATTATGATCTACATGTACATTTATTATGCCTTTGAACTAACGCTAAGACCTGGTATATCTCTACACAATTTAGTCAGAACCAGCGGATGTCCACGACGTTACGAAAACGTACATAACAAGTGTCTCCTGATACAAAACAGCAACATCAACTTCTCCGATGCAAGGATGGCATGTCTCAGCGAAAGTGGAGATTTGGTGATGATAGAAACGATTTTCGAATATAAAGCCCTTATTACAAAAATTCCACGTGCATCGGGATTTTATTGGGTTGGTAAGTGACACAGCCAAGTGGTAAGTCACTTGTGTATAAATAATGAAAATACATGTAAGACCCCATTTCCAGGGATTAGATCGATCTACTTTAGATCGACCCAACTCCCTGGGGGTTCACGCTAAATTGCTGTCAGCCGGGCGGACACGAAAGTTAATTACCCCCTTACTGCTTGTAGTAGGCGGGACGGACATTGAAGCCGGATTATCTGACGGTATTCTAGTGAGACTCCCCGCGGGGATAGATCGATCTAAAGCCCTGGGAATAGAGCCTAAGAAACAGCTATAAATACAGGTACATGCATCTCTTTGAGCAATATATGCCACGGCGGTTGTCAAAAAGAAAAAAGACCCAGATGCAGCATATGATTATACCGGTATGCATCCCGTGAAGGTGCGCACACATCATGTGAGCAAATTTCTCGCCTACCGCAAGTATACTTGTTTATTAAGCCTAGGTCCCAACTACGTTTTCGACGCACGGTTTTTAGGTTCCTTGCGTCCGGCTAGGACGTAGCAAGAACGCACGTAGCGGCTGTTGATCATGTCGAAAAGTTAAGCCTAGGTCCCAACTACGTTTTCGACGCACGGTTTTTTGGTTCCTTGCGTCCGGTTAGGACGTAGCTAGACCGCACGTAGCGGCTGTTGATCATGTCGAAAAGTTTCTACGTGCTGTTTGCGTCCTCCAAAAGGCGCACGATGGACGTGCTCCTCACGCACGAACTCCCACGTTTTCCCCATTTTTTAACCGTAGACCACACGTTCGGTTGGGACCTAGGCTTTACTTGATTCCCTCCCTGCGATTTAGCTACGTCCTAGACGGACGCAAGGAACCTAAAAAACGTGCGTCCAAAACGTAGTTGGGACCTAGCTAGGCTTTATATAGGCCTACATTGGATTGTATCGTATCTAGTCGAATAAATTTGAAGCATTCATCTGCTGTTAAAATGCGATTGCATATATATATAATCAGTCGTGTGAACTTGTAATTCAAATGCTTTTTTACATATCGTGTGTTGGTGAATTGAATTACTATACCAAAACAAGCGAAACGGATCATTTTTGATATGAAACGCTACCATAGTCCAGATTACATTTGCTAAGAGCACCGCACGGTAAAATCGAATGCAATTTTACGTACGATTTGGAGCATCGTGGATATTTACATAACATGTGGGTGCTGTGCATGACCTTGAGGCCACGTAGCGAAAAATCGGTGTATTGATTGAAAAAGGGGCGGATTTACATGTAGGCCGTCTTCTGGGTCTGTATGAAAATCTTGCAAAAATAAAGGATCAGAGAGGCGCTACCGCCCCGGGTATTGTACTACCAGCTGGAGTAAGCGCATTCGAATGGAAAAAAGGGACACCACCTCCAGTGTTGTGCTCGATAAGCTCTACAAAATGCAGCACACAAGGGTTCAAAATTTTTTGTATAAAATTACAATTAACAACAAAATAGTGGGGAAAAGTAGAAGGTCAAATACATGTACAAGGTTGCAGTAAGATTGTGAATGTAGGAGTTCCCATCCAAGTTCAGTAGTAAATATAAGAGCTTGGAAATTAGGTAAGTGTGGTTCATGATGAAAAGTAGGTCAAAGATCTAATATAAGGACAAAGGAAGACTGTCAATATATTAGTTCTTTTCAATGTCAGTAGTAAATATGGGCATATCTCTGCCAATTTTGAAGATATAAGGGACGATAAAATTTTGCAAATTGCAGTTTGTGGTGAAAAGTAGGTCAAAGGTCAATTTCAAAGTAACAGTTAGATTGATAATAATATTTAGAAAGTAATATTTCAATTTAAGTTCAGTAGTAACTATGGGGGCATCTCTGTCAGTTATGAAGTGCAGTTCACGCAAAGGTCAATTTCAAGGTCACGGTTAGATTGCCAGCACTTTACTTTCTATTCAAGATCAACAGTAAATATGGGCATATCTCTGCCAGTTTTGGAGATATAAAGGCCGGAAGATTGTGTAGCTCAGCATGAAAAGTAGGTCAAAGGTCAATTTCAAGGTCACAATTACATTGCCAGTATATGACTGCCCATACCAGTTAATAATAACTATGGGCGTATCTCTGGTTTTCAATTTCGGCATCTACCGGTGCTTCTATCGGGATAATGCACCAATTGACCCCAAACTCACGAAGATGAAAGATAAACCCAAGTTACACTTGTCCATAATATTATGAGTCAAGTCTGTGTAGTTTTTGAAAATCTGCACAAATGATTTTTTTTTTTGCGAAAAATCCCATTTTTAGAAAATTTTTGCCCTCTAGACCTTGAAATGAAGGTCAAATGCAAGGGCATATTTGAAATCTCCACATATGGCTTTCCCTTAGACATCAATAGTAATTTTTATCTTATAATTCCGTCGGTTTGGGAGATATTCAACACCTAATTTTTCAAATTTTGGACAAAGGTCCATTGCGACGAGCGCCACACCTAGACCGGTGCACTGGAGGGACCCAAAATTTACGTGGATCGAGTTGAAATGGATTTGTGGCCTAAATCCAAGAGATGGGTGCACAGGCTCATGTAGTATAGGAGGAGAAGCGGTGACGTGGTGANAAAAGATTAGGCGGTTTTTCTTTCATGTACGTCCGCCATTTTTAGTTCTCAGGATTTGTAAAGCCTGGCTCAATTCGTTGAGAATGCGGTCTAAGAAACAGCTATAAATACAGGTAGGCCTACATGCATCTCTTTGAGCAATATATGCCACGGCGGTTGTCAAAAAGAAAAAAGACCCAGATGCAGCATATGATTATACCGGTATGCATCCCGTGAAGGTGCGCACACATGTGAGCACATTTCTCGCCTACCGCAAGTATACTTGTCTATTAAGCCTAAGTCCCAACTACGTTTTCGCGTTTCAGACGTCTATAGTAGGGGGGCCTAATTTTTATCTTATAATTCCGTCGGTTTGAGAGATATTCAACACCTAATTTTTCAAATTTTGGACAAAGGTCCATTGCGACGAGCGCCACACCTAGACCGGTGCACTGGAGGGGCCCAAAATTTACGTGGATCGAGTTGAAACTGATTTGTGGCCTAAATCCAAGAGATGGGTGCACAGGCTCATGTAGTATAGGAGGAGAAGCGGTTACGTGGTGACCGCGTCGACAACAAATCCTCGCTGGTGGTGCAATAAGCTAACAGAGATACAAATCTCAACAGACATGTGCGAGATATATTGATGACGAAATATGTGATGAAATGTGTTAAAATCCCCAACCATGCAAGTTTGTTAGCCATAATTGCTTAATACACTCGTTTTAACGTTTATAGGAGTCACTGACACTGAAACAGAGGGGAAATGGAAATTTGTTAACGGCGCCGACATTACATATTCACCGAGTTGGGATCCCGGACACCCTGCCGTTTCTCCTAACGATGATGATTGTGTTGCCATTAACTCTGGGAGCAGTTACCAATACGTCGACAAAAAATGTAGTGAATCGTTTAAATTCATTTGTCAGGCACCATGGCACAGGCAAAATATTTTCGGATAGATACAAGAGCAGATCCTCAACTGATGCCAAGAATAAAGTGATCCTTAGTTATGTGCATGTATTTTGGTAGCAGCCCTTATATTGATTCATAGATGCTTATTTTAATACGTCAAGTTGATTACCAAGAATTAATTCATTTAAATAAACTGTTTCAAGGAGTCTGAAATATAGACTGTTGTATGTTAGTTTCAAAAGGCATTTTATATCCAAACTTGCTTATAATTATAACCCTTTATGTTGTCTTAATTATGCATCATTCATTTGTGGATGACATTTATAGTTACCTTAAATTCTATTTGAAGAGATGATATGAATATGTTTCAACAATATGTTAAACAAAAATTATTACATTTTATTGAAATCTTCTTGTTGCATTGTAATCAATAATCATTTAAGGTCCATGCACTAGATTCTTGATGAGAATGTAAGGGATTATTCAAATTAATAAAGCTTATAGCAGCAAGTCTTTCTTTATAGTCTAGAATGGTTTAATGTATTGGTGGATCCACTGGAAACACTAGTCCCGTCTCTCCCCCCTCTTATATGACGAAAACTGGAGAGAAAGCGATGCACGTTTTGGTTCTGTATCAACTCCCTTGCTGTCAACTGATATGTATACGTATATTTGCAAGGATTTAACTGAAGAAAGGCAAAACATACTTTGTAACCCCTAGACAAACAACCCCAACTCCATTCTTACATCTTATCAAAACCCTGCATCAGCCAGCAAAGTCCCCTGATGTTCACGAAAGTTCTAGTATATGGCATTTGCCTTCATGTAGCCAACATTTTCCTCTATGGCTTCTATTGTGCCGATTTACAAGCAAGAGTGAATAGACACCGGAGATCAAATTTTGCCAACACACCGAAACTCTCCCGGCACATCAACGTTGGGGACCCTAAACATTCTAACAGTTGGAACAACTTGAATTTCTTGGATCAATGTGGTTCAATCGACGGGAAAGGAATCTTTTTTTATTTGGGCCTAGAGACCATTCACTGAACATTAATTCACAGTTCTCACTTTTTTTTGCAAAAAGATTTCCATTTTCAGAAAATGTTGGCCTCCCTGTCCTTGAAAAAGGGTCAAAGGTCAAATCCAAGGGCATATTTGAAATCTACATTGATGACTTGTAAGTAACCAAATTAAGTAACCATTTTGTATTAGTAGAGTCTGTTCAGGAGGTAATTACCTATGGTCTCACAGCCTGCTGTACACTATTACAGTAGCTGAAATTTTGCTTGACATCTTGGACAGTCATATTGATAATGGATAACCAAAATATCCCGCAAAGCTTTTAATATTATCTTTCCCAGTTCAGGCTTTTAGAAAAGATAAAATCACTCATTGACAAAGAAAAGTATCTGAACTGGACATTTCTTGTAGAAATTTATATGAAGTGACAGTCTTAATGACCAGCTAGTCAGTAAGAATGAAATCATTAACAAAGAAATGACATAAAACATAAAAACCTAACACCCCATTCAGGCCCGTAGCCAGCAATTTCAGAGGGGGGGGTTCGTTTTCTGAAAAAGTGGACCTTTTACCATAAAATCCCCAAGTACATAGGTCAAATTTTACCCAGAGTGGACCTTTTCCCAGCAAAAAGGGTGGTTCTTTCGAACCCCCCGAACCCCCCCTGGCTACGGGCCTGCCATTCCCATAGACACACCATTGGTCTAAGTGGATCAACCCAACTCTGGGGGACTCTCATAATGTGCAATCGTCTTAATTGAATGACACTTCGGCTCTCATTTCCAACATACTCATATGATCACCAGCTTTTCTGTATTATACTTAATGCTTTATACTTATACATTAGTCTTTGTTATTCAAATATTTTGAATAAATTGACAATGGTTGCAAAAATGTGTATCTCAATCTAATTTCTCAAACAAGAAAGATAAAGTAATTTTTTTAAAAAGATTTATGTATTTACATCCACAATCCCAACTCTTCATATCACCTTTTGAGATGTCACATGGGAAATACATGCACCGGGGTACATGCAGGCTACTATCACCAGACCAATCTACATTTACAACTGCTGTTTATTCCTGTAATCACTTTGAATATAAAAAACAGCAAACATCATCATTATTATTATGTACAGTGCAATTAGCTCTGAAACTACGTCCCAGCTAGAATGGGAGCCCCGGCTGCCCACGGGAGCCCAGGCTGCCAAAGAGACTGCCAGGGAGACTGCCCTTTTGCAGTCTGGGGCTCCAGTGTGCAGTCTCCTTGAGCAGGCAGACTGCAAAGGGGGCTGCAATAACTTAAACATTTCTGCAGGAGACTGCAAAGGGGGCTGCGATAACTTCAACATTTTTTCAGGAGACTGCAAAGGGGGCTGCAATAACTTAAATATTTTGCAGGGGACTGCAAAGGAGGCTGCAATAACTTCAACATTTTGCAGGAGACTGCAAAGGGGGCTGCAATAACTTAAAAATTTTCACAGGGGACTGCAAACTAAACTGAAATAACTGACATTTTCAACGTTGGCCAACGTATGCAATAAACAACCCAATAGTTATTTAAAAAGTGTTTCTATCCGCAATTGAGAAGCACATGTGCTAAACTTTTGATTACTTACTAAGTGAAGTTTTATATTTTTTAATTTTTATTAAATATTTTAGATTTATATTTTTTAATAATGCTGTGAAAATATCCTTTATTATTGCTCTAATTTTCATTGAAATCAGACAAATAATTGAAGTCTTATGATAATATACAATTGCATAATATATAAATTTTAAACCTCACAGTTAGCATCAATTTAAGTTGGACTTGTGATTAAAATTAACTGGTAACTTTCAAAACCAAATTCATTTCAAGCCAGGGCCATGTTTATCTTAACTGTCAGCTTGATATAAACAGTTCACCTACAGCTTGCCCAATGAGGTCAAATAACTATACAGCACAGGCAGTAGTACATGACCGTTGAGCTAATTAATTCAAAACTCTAAGCCAGAAGCTAGGTCAGAAATGTTCTAAGGAAGAGGCAAGAAATCTGAAAACATTGATTTCTGGATTGAAAAAGCTAGAAGACATTTTTAGGAAATGCATGTAGAAAGAAAAATGAAGAAGGACAGAGACAGGATAAGAAGTGAGCATGCAAGTCCTTTTGGTTTTGTATTTTCCTACATGTATAGTTTACTGATGCACCAGGATCCATAGAGCTTTGGGAAGTGTTCAATTTTACCCCAGCACTTTGAATTCTGTTTGTGGTTTTTAAAAGTACTTGAAATTGCTATTAGGCTAGAAAAAGGTTTGCATTTAACCATTTTTGTCCTTTTGTCAATTAAAATATTATTTCAAACTTTGCAGTTTTTGACATGAATATAGACAATAATTCACAGATGAGGATAACACCTTTTAAAACATCGATCTTTGTACTTTTCATTATCATGCAATGTGTTAAAAATACAAAATTTTAATGAAATGAGCCTTTTTTTCCTTTGGTATACATGTACACTTTAAAAATTGTTTTAGTGTATAACTTGCCCACATTAGTTAAAAAAACTTAAAAATTACTTGAAATATTGCTCATATGTGTCTGTATCAATGTATGAATCCTGGCCAGTGAATTCTGTGACTGAGTTTTTGGAATGATTAAATAACGTACAGTAGAATTCCCAGCCCTCTGCCAATATGGGCTTTGTAGAAAAATATATATGTAAAATAGTAAACTGAACTAAATAGTATGGAGAGAAATAAACCAATATGTTAGATATAAATGAATCAGATAACATACATTTTGTGATCAAGGGGAAATTTTGTATTTAGATTTGATCTTACACACATGCTTGGGAGAAAGATTATTTCTAGATTCCTTTTGATAAATGTAATTATTATTTGAATATATACATGTATATGACTTTTAAAAAATAATAATAAATAAATAAATAAATAAATAAATAAATAAATAAATAAAAAGATTTTGCCAAATTTTATTTTGCTAAGCAAACTGCTAAGGAGACTGCAGAGTAGACTGCGAGAGGGGCTGCCAAGCAGACTGCTAGGGGGGCTGCCAAGCAGACTGCAAGGGGGGCTGCCAAGCAGACTGCAAGGGGGACTGCCCTGGCAGTCCCCCTGGCAGCGCGTTCCAAAAATGCAAATTAAGACTGCCAGGGAGACTGCCAAGCAGACTGCTAGGGGGACTGCCAAGCAGACTGCTAGGGGGACTGCCAAAGCAGACTGCCAGGGGGACTGCCCTGGCAGTCCCCCTGGCAGCGCGTTCCAAAAATGCAAATTAAGACTGCCAGGGAGACTGCCAAGCAGACTGCTAGGGGGACTGCCAAGCAGACTGCTAGGGGGACTGCCAAAGCAGACTGCCAGGGGGACTGCCCTGGCAGTCCCCCTGGCAGCGCGTTCCAAAAATGCAAATTAAGACTGCCAGGGAGACTGCCAAGCAGACTGCTAGGGGGACTGCCAAGCAGACTGCTAGGGGGACTGCCAAAGCAGACTGCCAGGGGGACTGCCCTGGCAGTCCCCCTGGCAGCGCGTTCCAAAAATGCAAATTAAGACTGCCAGGGAGACTGCCAAGCAGACTGCTAGGGGGACTGCCAAGCAGACTGCTAGGGGGACTGCCAAAGCAGACTGCCAGGGGGACTGCCCTGGCAGTCCCCCTGGCAGCGCGTTCCAAAAATGCAAATTAAGACTGCCAGGGAGACTGCCAAGCAGACTGCTAGGGGGACTGCCAAGCAGACTGCTAGGGGGACTGCCAAAGCAGACTGCCAGGGGGACTGCCCTGGCAGTCCCCCTGGCAGCGCGTTCCAAAAATGCAAATTAAGACTGCCAGGGAGACTGCCAAGCAGACTGCTAGGGGGACTGCCAAGCAGACTGCTAGGGGGACTGCCAAAGCAGACTGCCAGGGGGACTGCCCTGGCAGTCCCCCTGGCAGCGCGTTCCAAAAATGCAAATTAAGACTGCCAGGGAGACTGCCAAGCAGACTGCTAGGGGGACTGCCAAGCAGACTGCTAGGGAGACTGCTAAAGCAGACTGCCAAGGGGACTGCCCTGGCAGTCCCCCTGGCAGCGCGTTCCAAATATGCAAATTAAGACTGCCAGGGGGACTGCCAAGCAGACTGCTAAGGGGGCTGCCAAGCAGACTGCCAGGGGGACTGCCAGGGCAGTCCCCCTGGCAGCGCGTTCCAAAAATGCAAATTAAGACTGCCAAGGGGACTCCCTCCATACTTAAGGATACCTGCAAAGGAGACTGCTGTAGGAGCGGGGACTGCTAGGGAGACTGTAAAGCAGGCTCCATAGGGGGACTGTTAAGGAGACTGCAAGCAGACTGCAAAGGGGACTGCTTTTCTAGCTATATACAGGCCTTGGACCCATCATTTGTACACCCATGATGGATACAGGCATATGCATTATATTGTGCAAGGAATATAATTATTTATAATACTCACTTAGAATAATTTCCAGTTATCTCTCCTTCAATATATTGAACAAATTAATTGATAACAGTCAAAAATGTGAAACCCTATTTCTGATCATAGAACTTTGCTAAAAGTAGGAAAACATTGAAAATCCTGGAAATGTAGCAGCGAATTAACATTAAAAAAAAACAAAAAACAAAAAAAAAAAAAAAAACTGTCAAATATATGTAGAACAAAAATCCTGAAATCAGGCATTATCTTGAAAATACCACTCATTCAAGAAAGATGAAATAAATCTTATTAATACACTTAAGTATACATATCCACAATCCCAACCATACATATATTATCAGTTTGGTCATGTCATGTAATGAAAAGTAGGAGCTTTCACAAACGTACAATGATGCCTCTAATAGACATTCATCTATTACCAAATTTTAAGGTAGGAGATAAAAGGTCAGATGTTAAGCAGCAACAGCAAGCTGCCCTCTTTTTTAATGTACATCTTTTAAAATCGTTGTTGGTAATTATTGGTAATATTTTCAACTACCTCTCACCTGAAGACAGTAGGTCAAAGTTTCTGTCAGACTTTATCCTGAGATTTTTAAAATAAAAGCACCCATGCTATGCACTCGAAGGTCCAGTTTATCTCACCTTACTGTTCCAGATCATGAAATACTTATATACACTGTACATGTACTTTGCTGTCATTGATTTTCCAATTATTGTTCAATGTATTCCATTGACATAAAATAACCATTCACTTCAAATCGGAACACATCTCAATACTTTTAAACAATTCTTGAAAGTGTGGGAAATACTTTTGAAGAAAAAGTCCACCAAGAGTGTTCATCTCCACAGCTGTACATTTAGATCTCAGGGATAAATGGGCTGACACACCTACAGCAACTTAGGCAGGAAAGAGGAGTTGGTGCTTTTGGGTACACGTTGAATTTTTTTGCCATTTATGACTTGAACCATCTCCTCGTAAGTTAAGGTTTCATATTCTAAGAGAGCATCTGCTAGAGCTTTCTGTTTTTTATAGTGCACAGTCAGTGTTTTCTTGGCTCATTCATAGGATTCCTAAAAGTAAAATCAAAAGTACATTTTTCTCTTTAAAAATTTATGCAATCTCCTTTTTTATCAAAAATGAACAATTTATCACATTCTTAAGAGGTATGGGCTGCATCAAGGTATGTACCAACTGCTGTGTTTTTGTAGTGCATGTGTGTTCACATATGCCTGTGCATTCATATGTGATCTCAAAGTTCTGACAGAGGTCATTTTACTTTAGTCCAATCCCCTTGACATTGATGACATTCACAACAGATGATCCGCGGACTAAATATGTTCAACCAGACTAAAAAGCAATGCCGAATAATCCCTTAATTAGTGGTGTCCCTGCCTCCGCACGTGCCTTACGAAGCCGAGATTTAATCCATGTTGAGACTGGGGGCCATTAAAGGATTAGGTGGCATTGCTTTTAAGTGGGGTCAGCCATATGTAGTCCACAGATCAGTTCTGAATGTAGCCATATAGGTGGCTGCTTGCACACACCTCAAATCACTTCAGTTTTTGGAACAATAAATGTAAGCACATATTTCACCTCAGTTACACATACAGACACAACCTGATTCTATGGTGAAAAAAGTTTTTTTCAGTGAATGGTGTTAAGTTATAAAAATTTATTTTTAAAAATTTATTTCTCACCTATAAGGTATGGCATTTCCACCCATCAACTTTTGAACAAGGCATTGTGATAAAGGCTTGAAAAATCATGTCTCACAGGTAAAAAAAACAAACTTTTTACAATCATAAAAAAAAATCCCCATTTTTTTAAACTTTGAAAGCTACTTTCATATTATCAAATTACCTGCAGCATCCTCTTGATTTCATCATCCATCTCTTTCCTGTGTTCTTCGCTGAGAGCATCATCCTCTTTAAGCGTGCGCAGACCCACCTGTGAGAAAAGTCAGAAAATATTTTCTTAAGCTGAAATGGCACGTTTGGCAGCCATTCTCAAACACAATCACAGCTTTCCCTGGCAATTTTTTAGCCCTACACGCAGTGCATTTGTAAAGTTGCAGGTGCACCACACATTATACACATCCAAATATAAATTTGATGGCAATTTTTTAGCCCTACACCCAGTGCATATACTACAGCATATATACCATATTATATGATAGTAAATTCAGTGAGTGGACTGACCTTCTCTGACATGGCCCATTTGGAAACCATGGACTTGGCAAGGAGACTGGCCCGGTCACAGTCCCCNGCTGTACATTTAGATCTCAGGGATAAATGGGCTGACACACCTACAGCAACTTAGGCAGGAAAGAGGAGTTGGTGCTTTTGGGTACACGTTGAATTTTTTTGCCATTTATGACTTGAACCATCTCCTCGTAAGTTAAGGTTTCATATTCTAAGAGAGCATCTGCTAGAGCTTTCTGTTTTTTATAGTGCACAGTCAGTGTTTTCTTGGCTCATTCATAGGATTCCTAAAAGTAAAATCAAAAGTACATTTTTCTCTTTAAAAATTTATGCAATCTCCTTTTTTATCAAAAATGAACAATTTATCACATTCTTAAGAGGTATGGGCTGCATCAAGGTATGTACCAACTGCTGTGTTTTTGTAGTGCATGTGTGTTCACATATGCCTGTGCATTCATATGTGATCTCAAAGTTCTGACAGAGGTCATTTTACTTTAGTCCAATCCCCTTGACATTGATGACATTCACAACAGATGATCCGCGGACTAAATATGTTCAACCAGACTAAAAAGCAATGCCGAATAATCCCTTAATTAGTGGTGTCCCTGCCTCCGCACGTGCCTTACGAAGCCGAGATTTAATCCATGTTGAGACTGGGGGCCATTAAAGGATTAGGTGGCATTGCTTTTAAGTGGGGTCAGCCATATGTAGTCCACAGATCAGTTCTGAATGTAGCCATATAGGTGGCTGCTTGCACACACCTCAAATCACTTCAGTTTTTGGAACAATAAATGTAAGCACATATTTCACCTCAGTTACACATACAGACACAACCTGATTCTATGGTGAAAAAAGTTTTTTTCAGTGAATGGTGTTAAGTTATAAAAATTTATTTTTAAAAATTTATTTCTCACCTATAAGGTATGGCATTTCCACCCATCAACTTTTGAACAAGGCATTGTGATAAAGGCTTGAAAAATCATGTCTCACAGGTAAAAAAAACAAACTTTTTACAATCATAAAAAAAAATCCCCATTTTTTTAAACTTTGAAAGCTACTTTCATATTATCAAATTACCTGCAGCATCCTCTTGATTTCATCATCCATCTCTTTCCTGTGTTCTTCGCTGAGAGCATCATCCTCTTTAAGCGTGCGCAGACCCACCTGTGAGAAAAGTCAGAAAATATTTTCTTAAGCTGAAATGGCACGTTTGGCAGCCATTCTCAAACACAATCACAGCTTTCCCTGGCAATTTTTTAGCCCTACACGCAGTGCATTTGTAAAGTTGCAGGTGCACCACACATTATACACATCCAAATATAAATTTGATGGCAATTTTTTAGCCCTACACCCAGTGCATATACTACAGCATATATACCATATTATATGATAGTAAATTCAGTGAGTGGACTGACCTTCTCTGACATGGCCCATTTGGAAACCATGGACTTGGCAAGGAGACTGGCCCGGTCACAGTCCCCTGAAGCACCTGTTGTGACTTTGCCAGATCCAACCAGTAACTCCTCGGCTGCCCTTCCCCCCAGCAGCATGTCCAGTCTGCCTAGCAGCTGTTCTCTGTTTAGGCTGGTCACATCTTTCTCTGTGTAAAATGAAGTCTGAAAGCAAAAGTGATTAAGGTTTAAGCATAAAACAGTCTAAGAGTATAGATGATTAAGTCCTCGGTATAAAACAGTATTCAACTAGAAAAGCACTCAGAGAGCGCAGACCTCCGCCAGGGCAGCAAAGTCTCCATCCAATGCCGTTTCACCCCTAAATTTTTGATATTATTGATTACTGATTGATTATTGATCCGGATCTCAACAAAAACTTATCATCTATTCCTTGGCCCACTTCTGACAGTTCCTGAAAATTTCATCAAAATCGGTCCATAACTTTTTAAGTTTTGTTGATGACAGACAGACAGACAAACAGGTGAAAACATAACCTCCTTGGCTAAGGTAAAAAAAGGGCAATATTAGTAGTAATTTCTGTCATTTTCTTGAGAACATTTCTAAAGAATTAGCCCAATCCATCATGTATTACTATAATTATATACTCACATGTCCAAGAGAGCCATATGACCGGGGCAGTATGGTCAATTTGTGGACCTTTTGAATGCCCTTGCTATAGAACCCCACCAGCGCATGCCCAGCTTCGTGGTGAGCCGTCAGCAATTTTTCCTCATGAGAATGCAGTTTGACTCTGTTTGCTAGTGTTAAGCTTGAAGAGCAATTGTACTAAATCAGATATTCAAAACTTGAAACCAAAGAAATTTTTTCACGAAATCATACTCACTTCTAAGAGTTTTTCATTGCAATGAAGTGGAAAGCAGGAAATTTATTTTAAGTTTCAGTGGCTGTAGTAATAGGTTTTCCTGCTGCTGATGTTCTGACCAAATAACTCAATCACTGCCCCTTAACTCACAAAAGGACATCACAGTGTGGCAGATCACAGGTTTGGGAGTTATGTATCATATCTTTTATTATCTCACCCATTCTGATTCTGTCCAGTGCTGTATCAAAGTGAGACACATCTACTTCAGTGGCGCCATCTACTGCTGCTCTGAGGGCAGCCTGGTTGACGAAGTTGGCCAAGTCAGCACCTAGAAAAAAATTAGACAATTCTGCCAAATGTACCAACTCCTCTCCAATATTCATTTTTATAGTGATATTGATCATTCATATTTAACTAATAGTTTCAAAGTCAGATGGATGGTTAAGCTATATGTCTCTTGAAGATAAAATTCATTGACAAAATGTTAGATGGAAAGCACCACTTTGTGTGAGAGGAAGAAGAAAATGGAAAATAAAATTTTCACAGCATTCCTTTACTTTAGTATTGGTGACATGCCAACTAATTTGATAAACTCCATTAAATGATTAGTATATTAACTAAATAGCATTAATAACATATAAAACTTAACGTCTTTTTTTATCTCCAGACTTACTAGTCATGCCAGTCGTCAGCTTGGCTAGCCTACCAATATATGTGTCTGCAAACAGAATTATGTACAATGAATTCAACAGTATTTTTCCCTGTGAAACTGGTTTGACGACCCTTGGGGGGGGGGGGGGGGGGTTCTTAAATATAGTTCTATTCCTATATATTGCCTATTTCAAATTTTAAATATAGTTCTATTCCTATATATTGCCTATTTCAAATTTTAAATTTGTTAATTATTAGTTTGTAGGCAAAAGATGAGTGCAAATAAGGGGGTAAAAGTGCCCACCTTTGTACATGAAAAATAAATTGTGAATAAATGGAAAAAAGTTGATGCCAAATTAAAGTTGGGGTCTTAGACTTTTATGATTCACTTTAAAAAAAATCTTTTTTGGAATTTGAAATATAAAAAAATTAAGGTCAAAATGACCTTGTCAAATATTCATGAAAATGTGTGTTTTAGGGGGGTTCTGAAGAACAATGCTACATATCTATAGTAATAGTAAGGTGACAACTGTGAAATATTGTAATTGGGTACAGAAGTTGCCCATGTAAAAAAGGCAATAAGTGGCCAATCATTGTTTGTGATCAATATTTTGATTGCTTTATATGTACATTGAGTGCTGATTGAAAGAAGAATCTCACAGTGACTTCAGGTTAAAAGACGTTCATTTTTTATATGAGCACCTGCCTCAGACAAGCTAATTTTTAACGGTTGAAAAGACATGAATATAAGGTGAGATATATGTCATGCACCTTAATAAATAGCTAATGTGTAACCTTCCTCATGCATAATTACCGTATGTATAATTAATGTGTAACCTTCTCTTAGCATGTATTGTTTTCACAACATTAATTATGCATAAGGAAGGTTACACATTAATTATACATACAGTAATTATGCCATGAGGCAGGGATACAATAAAAAACTAGAGGATCAGAGAGGCGATACCGCCTCCGAATATTGTACCACCAGCTGGAATAAGCGCATTCTTATAGACCCCCCCACATAAAAAAGGGACACCACCACCAGTCTTGTGCTTGACAAGCTGTAAAAGATGCAATCAACAAGAATTCTCAAAATATGCAAAAAATATATATAACTAAAAATGGTACAATCAAAGTTCAGTTCATCGTAAGGTAAATTTCAAGGTCACAGTAAATTTCCAGTATATGACTTCCTATTCAAATTCAATAGTAACTATGGACCTATCTCTGCTAGTTTTAGAGATAAAAGGGAACAAAATTTGCAAAGTTCAGTTCATGGTTAAAAGTATGTCAAAGGTCAATTTAAGGTCACAGTAAATTGCCTCTAATGACTTTCTATTCAAATTCAATAGTAACTATGGGCGTATCTCTGCCAGTTTTGAAAATAAAAGCATTAAAAAGTTGCAAAGTTCAGTTTATGGTGTAAAGTAGGTCAAAGGTCAATTTCAAGGTCAGAGTAACATTATAAGTATATGACTTCCTATTCAACTTTAGTAGTAACTATGGACCTATCTCTGCCAGGTTTGGAGTTAAAAGGGAAAGAAATTAGCAAAGTTCAATTCATGGTGATAAGTAAGTCAAAGGTCAATTTTAAGGTCACAGTAAATTGCCTCTAATGACTTTCTATTCAAATTCAATAGTAACTATAGGCGTATCTTTGCCAGTTATGGAGATAAAAGGGAACTAAAATTTGCAAAGTTAAGTTCATTTTAAAAAGTAGGTCGAAGGTCAATTTTAAGGTCACAGTAAATTGTCTTTAATGACTTCATATTCAAATTCAATAATAACTATGGACCTATCTCTGCCAGGTTTCGAGGTAAAAGGGAACCAAAATTTGCAAAGTTCAATGATAAAAAAAAGGTCAAAGGTCAATTTCAAGGTCACATTTAGATTGCCAGTATATGACTTCCTATTCAATTTCAATAGTAACTATGGACCTATCTCTGCCAGTTTTTCGAGATAAAAGGGAACCAAAATTTGCAAAGTTCAGTTCTCGGTTAAAAGCAGGTCAAAGGTCAATTTTAAGGTCACAGTAAATTGCCTCTAATGACTTTCTATTCAAATTCAATAGTAACTATGGGCGTATCTCTGCCAGTTTTGAAAATAAAAGCATTAAAAAGTTGCAAAGTTCAGTTTATGGTGTAAAGTAGGTCAAAGGTCAATTTCAAGGTCAGAGTAAGATTATAAGTATATGACTTCCTATTCAAGTTTAATAGTAACTATGGACCTATCTCTGCCAGGTTTGGAGTTAAAAGGGAAAGAAATTAGCAAAGTTCAGTTCATGGTTAAAAGCAGGTCAAAGGTCAATTTTAAGGTCACAATAAATTGCCTCTAATGACTTTCTATTCAAATTCAATAGTAACTATAGGCATATCTTTGCCAGTTATGGAGATAAAAGGGATCTAAAATTTGCAAAGTTAAGTTCATTTTAAAAAGTAGGTCGAAGGTCAATTTTAAGGTCACAGTAAATTGTCTTTAATGACTTCATATTCAAATTCAATAATAACTATGGACCTTACTCTGCCAGTTTTCGAGATAAAAGGGAACCAAAATTTGCAAAGTTCAATTCATGATGAAAAGTAGGTCAAAAGTCAATTTCAAGGTCACATTTAGATTACCAGTATATGACTTCTTATTCAATAGTAACTATGGACCTATCTCTGCCAGTTTTGGAGATATAAGGGACTCAATGTTATAATTTTGGAGTTACAATAATGTGCCATAAATTTCATGCAGAAAAAATTAATTAAAATACAGAAAAGGTCATTTTGGTTGAAATTCTTGAAATGGGAGGTGCTCAGAAGTTCCAGATGTTCAAATTTCATGAATTAATGTCATTTTTGACCACAAGTTGTCTGCCTCGCCAAGCCTTATGTTTTATTTTCCCGGGGTTCAAAATTTATTATCCATTACTGTACTGGACATTTTGTTTTCACCACCATTACTTATGTAATTATGTACTTTTTGATACAGCGTAACTCGAAAACCGTATGGAATACAAAAAAACGGAGACCAGTAACAGTGTTGGGCTTTACATGCTCTACAAAATGCAATGAATGGGTCTCTAGCATTAACGGTTCCCGAATTAGAAACAGTTTTCAGTTTCGGTATCTTATGGCCGCTCCTCCCGTGAAAATGCACCGATTGACCCCAAATTCACGGAGATGAAAGATGACCAATAATATTATTGGTTAAGTCTGTGTAGTGTCTGAATTACAGCGCAAATAATTGTTTTTTCGTAAAAACTTTCGTTTTTTTGAAAATTTTGGCCTGTTTGACCTTGAAAGAAAGGTCAAAGGTCAAATCCAAGGGCATTTTTGAAATCTACACATATGACTTTTGGCAAGCCCTCTGTAGAAATTTTTCCCATAATTCTTTCCGTAGGGTAGATAATTTGCATTTAATTTTGCCATTTTTGGACAAGGGTGTATTGCAATGAGTGCCACACCTAGACCCCAGCACCGACAAAGCCCAAATTTTACATGGAACGAGTTGAGATTATAGGTGACCTAAATCCAAGAGATGGGTATAGAGGCCCTTACCGTCTAGGAGGAGAAGCAGTAACTGTGAGATGGCGGTGGAGCCAGAGGAGCCGGCGGAGCCGATGGAACATGCGGGTCGGGACTAAAACCATGTGTACCGCCAGCGCCTACGCTGGTGGTACAATAAAAACTTAACATTCCATATTTGTGCATGTCCAAACAGAATCCAGTATTAAAATTTGTTGAAGACACATTCTCTTCTTAAGTATGCTAAAGACTTTGCTTGAGCAGCATGTTTGTGGTGTGTGTGTTTGTGTGTTGTAGTGTTCACAAATATAATTCCCAGACATGTAAATTAATTTGATTAGAGTCCATTGCTTGTGCACTCGACTCGTTTTATGGCCTTACCTGTAGTTATGTAACTTCAGTGGACGTGTGCAATTTGAATAATTAAAATTAGTATGTACCGCCAAATAATGCAGCACAGAATCCACCTTGTGATAAGAAATATGTATAAAAGATGTCTAGAATTAAGATCGGGAAGTCAGACTGAAGAAAACTCGAAGGTGACCGCTCGGCGGAGCCATGGGAGACGGCCTTGAGCTTGGAGATTTCACGTAGATGATGTAGTTAGACATAGTCAACCAATAAACCATTAGACTGGTCATTATGTGGACTTGGGTTTTCTTTGCGCGACCTTACGTAAATCTGACACGAACCGGGGAATCTTTGGATCGCATTATCCACTAAGTTAGATGAAAACGTAATGTCCTATTTCGAGCCCACGCTTGAATTAAGCGTTCAAAATTATATAAGTTAAGGACATTCATCTCATATGTATATGTCAAGGTACATAACAGTGTGTGTGCATGTATTTTGTAAGTATATTAAAAGTCATAACTATTTTACTGAGATTCCTGTCTTACCTATCTCCTCAATGCTAAGGGTCTTAACAAGTGTTACATTGTTCTTCTCTTTTAGTTTGGTATCAACTGAAAGAACAGAATTTAATTGAATTTTCAAGACAACATCAATTTCAATCTTTAAACAACAAAAGCATTAATTTTCAGAAGATAAAGTATCTTCTTCGGTTTGTCAAAGGCCATGCATCCAAGTACAGTAATTTTGTGTGTGTGTGTGTGTGTATGTGCATGCATGTACATGCACTATTACATGTCATCAATGTAATAAATAGATCCCTATTCTATTGTCCCTGCTGTCTTACCTCTCTCCTTCACGAGCTCTGTCACAGTAATTGTTGTGTCTTTGACATCAACTGAAGGAAAAAACGGAACACAAATTCAACATCCCATGCCCATGCACAACAAGGATTCAATACCATAATCAAATATGTATTCAAAGATTTAGATCACTGAACAGGGAATAAAAACACAATGTTTGTAAGGGGCGGATCAAGAGAGATTTTCTGACAGTCTTGCAAATTATGTTTGCTGATCCATCCTCCATTGTGGACTGTCTTCTGACAAAAAATTAAATCCCCATCAATGTAATCTTCTGACCATTTTGCGGAAGACCCAGAAGATGCCCCTGTTTGTGTCTGAGAGCCTGTTTGAGTGTGTGTAATTTTTTTTTAAATGTGTTAAATGAACATCTGTTAAATTGATCTTACTGTCTTACCTTTCTCCTCCCTGCCCTCAGCATCTGACACACTCTTTGTGTCTTTGATATCTGCTAAAGAGAAAAAATGATATTTTAATAATATTTTAATATTTAAAAATACAAACTTAACATTCCATATCTGTGCATGTTCAAAAAGGATTCAGTAGGCCCATTACACTTTGATGAAGACACATTCAAAGATTTGATTGACATAAAAATAAATAAATTATCTTCATAAGTATGCTAAAAAATAGACTTTGCATAAGCAACACTCTTGCGGTTTGTATGTGCGTATGTGTGTTTGTTAGTGTATGCGTGTGTGTAAGTATATTAAAATTCATAATTATTTTACTAAGATTCCAGCCTTACCTAGTTCCTCAATGCTTAGGGTCTTAATAATTGCTACATTATTCTCTTCTTTGGTATCACCTGAAAGAACAGAATTGAATTTTAAGGAATACCAATTATGTGAGTATGTTGGAGTATGTTGGAGACAAAAAGAAGTGTGTTAGTCTGTTAATCTGATTGTATTCAGTGAGAGTTTCCATGGAGTTAGTGCACATTAGCTAGGTCTCCAAATTCATTGTCAACAGCCCGTGAGGGTCCAGACTTGCACCCTGTGAGTCAAGGTGTTGTTGTAATTTTATTTCATGAATCCTTCCTAAAAGATAAAAAATGCATCAAGTTGATTGAATAGATCAGAGCAATGTTGTGGACTTACCACTTGTGTGGACTTCAGGCTTGTACATGTAGTCCCACTCTGGAATAAGATGGCACATTTATTTATTATTTACAAGTTATGATATACACTAAAATAAAGTCTTAAATGTATTTGGCAATATTGAAAGACCATTTCATCATATCTTCCCATAGGTTATACTTTATAGGATTGTTGGATCAAATCATAATTATTTCAATATGTTATGCATGAAAAAATTAAGGTTAATTCACCTTTGATTTCCATTGGTTATATGAGAGAGAATTATAAGATCAAGCACCTTTTATTTGCATGTCCAGTTCTCCCCAAGTACAGGTCACTTCCATGCTGTCCTTAGTGGTCACCTGGAGGCACCTGTTCCTAAAGGGTTCAGGCTCCCATGTCCAGCCACACCCAAGGTGATAAGGCTGAATGAATGAATGAATGAATGAATAAATGAACGAATGAACAAACAAACACTCAAACAAACAAACAAATAAATTNTTTAACCTGGACACCAATGTAACAGTTCTGCCGTTTGGTGTTTTTTCATTTTTGTTCATGAGGTCTGTACATCAGTACAATATTACTGTGTAGTTTTTAAACTCAATTCTAAAATGTATTTAAAGGTAATAAGAAAAATTGCTGTGCATCGCATTATGTTATACACTTTGTCTCTAAGGGGGCACAAATGAAAGATTTCCATTCAAAGAAAGAAGATGGACTTGTATGAACATACACTTCTATTATACTGTATTGAATTTCACAAGTCCGGCCTCTGCTTCAAAGACTTAATCCCAAGAGGAAGCAGTTGGCCAAGTAACATAGTTGTTTTCCACCCACTTTCCTCTTTATTTTGTTAAATTCAAGATGCACTCTTATGCTGAATCCAATTAAAACTGTAAAAAGTGCCCACACACCAAAAAGTACTTTGTTGCACCATGCTCTAGCCTTGTTACCCATGAAATGCTATATTTTTGTATTTGCAGACATGGCGAAAACTCTGGCCCATAACTGGTCCTTCAGACCCAGGAGTTACAACAGTTGTAACTCCTTGTTCAGACCAACTGGGCAAAATATCTACTGGTCCTACCAAAAATTTTATATCACTATTTTTCCCTAAATATTTTAGGCTGCTAGGTGATATGGACATTTATTTATGGTGGAGTAGGGAACAGGAGGGGGATACCCCCCCCCCCCTTCCCAAAGCCATGAATAACAAAAACTTTGAAAAAATGAAACTAAAAAGCTACTAAATGAAACTAAAAGGCGATCCAGACCACCATCAAAAACCTGATAGTAGGTTTAAGTTAGCCCAGTCATTTCTAACCTATCCTGAAAATTTCATCAAAATTCATCCATAACTTTTTAGTTAGGCTGTGACAAACAGAAAGACCAAAGGAGGTGAAAATATAAACTCCTTGGTGTTAGTAATTAAAATGCACCTTTTTCACAGAGTTTTCTCTAAAGGTTCTATTTAAACTAGCATGTTGAGGATAATCTCTCCTGTGTAAAATGTACAATTTAGGCACCATGAACCCAATTAAGTTCACAGGGAAACCATTTGGCAAGCTGTGAGAAGATTTTGTCCCCAGAAGTCTATTGTATTGACTATTTGTTATGGTTCCAGGTTGCCTTGGTTTGGTTAGGTCAGGTCCCTAGTGAATTTCTCTAAGGCTTTAGTCATATTTTACTTCAGCTTTAGCTTCAAAATTGGTCTCAACTTTTAGACCCAAAATTAGGTCTACTTTAGTTTGTGTAAATCCCGTTTGGACCCCACACCATATTTTCAGAATTTTTCACTAAATTGCAGTCTTATCCATGTTGAAGGGATCAGTTTTGTTTTGGTTTTTGTTGTACCAGTTGTAGTCCACTTTAAGTTGGGGCCCATATATTCATATCAGCAGTACAATGTAGTTTATGCAAATTAATCACATGGGGCCAATGAACAGTTTAAAAATGTGGACAATACATGCTCATCGTGAAGGCTGGCAGCCAGCAATTTCAAAGGAGGGGTGGGTGGATGTACTTTAAAATTGGACCTTTTATAACCCTTTGTGGGCCAAAATTGAGAAATGGGATGGCCCTGGATACCCTCTATCAGAGCCACAATTTGATTTTCCACTAGATATGTCTCTGGTTAGATTGATGGTCAGGGATGGATCCAAGATTATTTGAAGGGGGGTTCACGGATGCAAAACTGACCCCCTCCCCCATCAGGTCTGGGCCTGCTCAATTAACTGTCTTGATTGCTGTCAGGGGGACTTGGCAGGGAAGTGGCAGTGCCTGAGTAGTTATGCAAACAATTACTAGCCATGTAATCATCCTTGAGATTTCATCACAGGGTCACAGCATGGAGAATAACCACAGTGGTGAATTTAGGGGAGTGTCAGGGTGGACCTGACCCCCCTTTGATTTCTGAAAAAAATCACCCCAATGGTCCTGTCTTGAAAATAGAACTTTGACTAGCTGAATCATAGTTCTAAATCATAGTTCTAAACTAAACTTCAAATGGCACCTCGCCCTTTAAAATACCAAAAAGTATTTGGGCCCTTGACAGCAATCAAGACAGTTTATTGCTCCTCTGTGACAGCAAAAATAGCTTCTTATAAAAATATTGTTGCTTTAGGATGTCCATGTGTCTTGTTTCAGCAGACAGACAAGACAAGACTGGTTACGTAACCAGTGTTAATCATATAAGGGCAAAGCCCAGCTCCCATTTAAATCCTACAGAGTGGGTACAATGCCATCTACAAGCATGCAGATTTAACTACTTCCATCTGGACAAAAGTTACAGGGTCCTCTAAGACAAAATGTCCACATAATAATAACTGGGGTCCTGGAAGAGGGTAAGGTGGCTCCTACTTTGATCAATTTTGATTCAGGGCCAATCTTTTTTGCCCAAAAGAATGGTTCTTTCAACCCCACCCACCCACCTTGCCTGTGGGCTTGTTCATTTTTACCAGACCCCAGTCTTGAACCAAAATATTACTCTGGACATTGTTGCCTTGCTAAATGCTGTATATTTAAAATTGTATATTTGTTTAACCAAGTTCAGAAATCCACATTATTTGTGAATAATACATTTATAAATAATAATAAAAAAAAACATTTACTTATTTTTCTGGTCAAATGGTTATTTATATATGTTTATATTTGATCATGATAATAAATTGTTTGAATCCAACTCTTACTGCTAAGTATTCTGCTCTTCAACATGCAGATGAAAAAAAAAACTTTAGCAAATTGAAAGTGAAAAAATTTGTCAACTTACATTTGCGAGCACTACAATTCCAACTGTAATCCCAAGTTTTATGACAGCCACATTTATAGTATAATTGCAAACATAAGCAGGAAATGCAACATGTGTACCAATATGTGGAGCATACATGACCTTTTTTTCTGCGGAAATGGTCAAACCCAAAGGCAGCTTTTTTATACAGAGCATTTTGAAAAAATGGTTGGTTCTACCTGTAGTGCCTTTTTTTAATGAATGACCATTTCAGGGGTGGATTGAGGCTGTCTTCTGGGTCTTCTGGAAGACGGTCAGATTTTCAAGTTTACATTGATGGGTATCCAGTGTTTTTTTCTGTCAGAAGACGGTCAAAAATAGAGGATGGATCAACAAAGATAATTTGGAAGACTGTCAGAAAATATCTCTGGATCCGCCCCTGCATTTGGCTATTTGGAAGAGGCGATAGAGATGACAACCCAAATTTTTTTCAAAGACAATCAACAGGTTCACCTGAATGCATTTAATCATATACATGTACATGTTAAGCAGAGATGCTATTCAACCAGCTAATACCATAGAGACAGTGCTCTTACCCTGCCTGTGAGAAGAAGTTATTTCCTGTCTTTACCAGAAAAAGGCAAAAGTATTGAGACATATATTATACACAAGCCTACATGTTTACCTCATTTCCTAAGCCTAAATATCACAATTAAAGTTGCAAATAACAAGTGGGAAGTAAGGGGTATTATATAATGATTACAATAATTAATACACCATAATTAACAACTTATTATGGATTGGCATGCAAGAAAAGGGTAAAAATGCCTGGGGAACTTAATGACTATGTTGTGGGATTTTACCAGCTTATTACATGTATTATCAGGCCTGTTAAGCCAGCAGTTTCAAAGAGATCGGCGTCTGTTCTGAAAAATTAGACCTTTTTATCCATATTTGATTAATATAGCATAAAACTTTAGATCGAATTTTGATTCAAAGCTCACCTTTTCTGGCCAAAAGGGCATTTTTTTCTGTTTTTCTGTGCCTCTCTCCCC